GTAATTAGATGAGTTTCTGTTATTATAAAAATAAATATTTATATGTTTATTATAAGTTACTTGTTTATGCTCAGGGTTGAACCGTTTATGATGAGTTGACGAGAGCTTATTACGACGTGCCATTAAAATAATATGAGGTGGTAAAACTGGAAAAACAAGGATACAGTTCAATGTGTTTTGTATTTTAATGTTAATTTACCATGAAAAGAGGAAAACATGCTACGTTTCGCTATGCATTTAAGTTAGGCTGTTTCGACAAGTTCAAGGAATAACATTGTATAAAAATAACTCAGTGTTTTCTAAATATGATTTACATTGTTATTCATTGCTTTGTTTACACTACCTATTCACTGGTAGCCTAAGGTGTTATTCCAGTTACGCCCGGGCGGGTAGGGAAGCTCACGGATTCAACTTGAGGGAATTTGCTAACACTATCACAAACAGAGCAGTGCTTACCCCTGCAGTGCAGTACCACTGGATCGGAATCGCGGCCCACTGCGGAAATCCGGCGAGAAACTCAGTGGTTTGTGTTTATCGGCATTTCTTGCATGTGTTGATATATTATTTTAAGAACGATTTATTTAAAGTTAGTGCTTTAGGGCGTTCAGTTTTGTTAGATCTTAGCGGTTTTTAATTATTAGGTATTTGTTGAGAATCACAGTTTCGGAATTCACTCATTTGTACAGTTTATGTTACTTTTAAGGAGTAAAAAAATTTAGCAACTGGTGCTTTCTGTCCAGCATTGAAATTCTTAGGTAGCAAGTAGTTATCAGTATATTGGTGATTTGGTATTGCTAGGGTTGTAAACTGGCTTGATGATTTTCAATATCAATGCTCTAGTGAGCAAGCAGTACTAATATAGGCATTATAATTAATATATGTATAATAAAAATGTGTTTCTTTTTTTCTTTCTGTCACTAAAGACGAGTATGACAATTTGTTTTTGTGTAAAGTTTGATAAATACGAATATTTTAGTTTGATAGCTACATTAAAAGACCACAGAGTTCAGGTTATGTAAATTAAAATTTGTCACAAACAAGCTAGAGGATTCTAGATCTTTAATTATGATTGAAAACTGGTAATTTTTATTTCTGATTTGGTTTTCTTTGTTACCGGTTCCATTACCAACCGTGGACTATAGAACTAATGCTAAATGATATCATGTATGTTTTCTCTAAAATATTTTTTTACTGGTCCCGTGATAAGTTCGTAAAGAACTTGTGTTACAGGTACCAGATAACGGAAATAAATGTAAGATTTTTATTATACACATATATATATTTAATATACATCCATAGCCCTGGAAAAGACATTTATATTCATCATACAAATATCTTCCCTTGGCGGGATTCGAACCCGCGACCCCTTTTCTGTAGTGACCATGTCACTTACCGCTACACCAGACGGCCGTTACAACATTTACTAGTTTCATAGGAATAACATTAATGTAAAGTTCACAAACGTCAAATGTGAAATTTATGAAGACACGAAAGGTTTTTTTTTCTTTTTTTTGCGGCTTTTTCTCATTTGCCTTGAAGGTTCCGTCGGCCGAGCGACCTTGGGATGGGCCGCGCGTCTAGTTACAGTGTTGCCCGCGGTAACCCCGTCCGGATTCTGACCTTGAGGGGATCGGACGCTTGAGTGAGACTGCAGGGCCTTTAACAGGGTGTTTATTTATTTGTATCTTGATGCGAAGTTGCGAATTGTTCACAAGTTCGGTGGCCACGATAGAATGCTTTGAGAATTGTCGCAGAAATTATATTGAACATTGTGTCATCTTCATTTAGATATTTAGTTAGCTTCCTGATTTAACATTTCATTAATTTCTGTTGCGAAGGAGGCATTTCTTACGGCTTAAAGGGTGGATTAATCTTTATACAACTGAGACTTTGAGTTCATGCTTCAAGGTAGTGGCACTCACGTAGTGATCTTTATGGGTTTCAGCAATCTTACCTCAAGATAAGTCGAAGGCTTCTTCGTCTGAAGTATTTAAAAATATCTGTAACCACAGAAAAATCTGTAGACTGATTTTAATAAAAATGTTCAAAAAGGTTGTCTTCGAGTTGTGCGTGTCGTCAAACGAAAAGCCTAACTTAAAGTGACAAAACCTTACTGACTGATCTGAAACTGATCCTACAAAAAGTGGAAATATTCATTTTAGCTCCCGCTGTGTTGTGTCTTAAAAGATCAAAAAAAATTTATCAAGAAATAAAAAAAACCTTCTTGACATTTTTATGAACTTAACATCGATCATAAAGATACGTAGTTAAATTTTAAAGAGAAATACATTATTTCATGAACAGATCCGTGCTGATTGTATATCATTAAAGTTCATGATTGTCAGTCTTCGAACAAAAATATTATTGATTGAAGCTTTGAGCGCATTACGTCCGTGTAGGTAGGTATACCTATATACCTACATAGTGTACTGGCACTTATGTAATTGTAGGGTAACTTGAGGCATTTACTCATGAATTGACCATCTGACTATGTGGATAGTATTATCATAATTTCTTTTGTAGACCTGCCATGCAATTTTAATACAATTTCAATTTTAATGGAACTTAACAGAAACTTATTCTGGACATTTAAACGAATGCAAATCGAATTTCTGCTTTATTTTCGGGTCCTATCATGGAAGTGAGATTATAATAATTAAGTCTTTTAAGCCCTACTCAGAAAAATTTACCGAAATCTATTCAGCTGTCTTTTTTCCCCTTCCTAATCGTTGGTAGCGTAAGAAGCTGTTTCAACTACACGCGGAAGTCTCGCCTGACGGGGCTCTGACTACTATAGAGATAACTTGCTAACACTAACCCTAGCAAAAGCAATGCCGAGCCTACCAAAGGATTGGATTAACGATCCACTGAGAAGATCTGGCGAGAAGCACAGTGGACTGTGTCTACAGACATAAGACCATCCGTCTTTGTGAATTATTAGAACGAATAAATAGACATAGCGGTCATGGAGCGCACTGTGAGCTCTCACTTTATCAACGTCTTTCCTATCTATTTCGCGAAGTAGTCCTCTGGGAAAATCAATTATTATTGTCCTCAATTATGGTGACTGGCCACATTTTCGTTGTGATTATAAAATATATGATCAAATCTAAAAATTTCTTGACGCCACTTTCGTAACCGAAAATGGGAACTTTACGAGGCAAAACCGGCCCGCGCCATATTCATTGCTAACCAACGCAGTTCAAATGTTAATCGGATAAGAAAAAAAACTCAATAAAACGTAGCTATAAATATTTATTTAAATAAACAAGCGACAAAAAACACTTGTGAAGGTTTATGACTAGCTTACGAACTATATACCTACCTACTTTATCGCTCCATTCATATCTGTTGGGTGCTAATATAAAATGGAACAGAAGTATGCACTCCAGACTTTGTATCGAAGTTCTAATTGTGTTACGGCTGACCCCCCTTCCAAACCGGCACGCATGACTATTGCCGAAATAAACAAAATGGTGGTACCGGTTAGGGATTTAAAACGAAACCACAAGTAAAAATGGTTAACCGAGAAGGATTCATGCGATTAGGCTTGAGGCTATAAGGCAGTCCTTAGAATATGATATAGGCTAATTACACTACGACCTCAACGGTTTAAGGCTACGTTCACACATAGTCTCCGTGTATACGGTACCCGTTTTAACGGGTACGGCAAAAAAATATGCTTTGTTCACATATAAACATCGTACAACATTCAACGTATCCGTTATTACTGGATACGATGATCACAAGCAAATTCGTAGTATACCGCCGCTATTCTACTATGAAACTTGTTTGTCGAGCTGCACCGCCCGCCGGCCCCCTCACCCCCGCACAGTTTCTATCCGGTAAAATTCGATGACAAAATGGAATGTCATAATTTACCGGATCGCTTTTTTTTTTACTGTATACTGAATACTGTACCTTAAGTGAAGTCGCTCATACAACTCTATGCTCCATCGATGAAAAAAAGCGTATTCGAAAAAAACGGACCAGTAAAACGGAGACCATTTGTGAACGGGCTTTAAGTTGCAAGGGCTTACCGTTGTGTTTTCTAGCCACGAGTAGCAGTAGCCAGCGACTTCAATCGGCTCCTAGCATTGCTGACGTCCACGAGTGACGGATACCGATCATCATCAAATGCCTTGTAGTTTCATCCGTCAACATGGACGTTAAAAATAGCACATACGTAGGTTTACTACAATAAAAAAAACCTTATTTAAAACATCGCATCTAATTATTAAAACTTAAAACAAATAATACGATACGAATTTACTGCTGTTAATTTATAATTCTTGTTAAGGCAAATAAAATGAGTAAGTCTCAAACGAGATATAAACTGGTATATGTTCGAAAAAGAACATCTTGTTTTTCGACGTTTTGTGTCAATCGAAGTGTGTTAAAATACGAGGAAGAACTTAACATCTGACAAATGACTTTAATAGAACAACAATATATACATATATTACACATAGTTTTTTTAAATTTGTTAAAAGATAGATAGATAGATAGATAACAAGCGTTTTCAGACTAAAACGCAAAATGTGATTTAAGTAGCATTAACAGTTAACTGAACAAAAAAAGATGTAAAGTTTGTGTTCTTTTTTCTATTCACATTATTATTATTACTATTCACATCGTAACACTAAAAAAACGTTTATTAAATAACACAACTTTGACGGATTAAGCTCGCGTTTATTATTTTGTTTTCATTACATATTTCTGACGTTTTAAATTATTTATGGTTTTCGTTGTCACACGGAAATAACATCGTTTACCGTATACCTTTGAATACTGTACTAATTATTGTCCAATTATTTAAATATCTATTACACAGCATATATATTAACACAGTAATAAAAATCACGTCTAACGTTCTCTATTCATTGCTTGTATAAAACAAATAGGTATCTATTGACATTGTAATTAACTTAAACATTATAAACAGAAACATCCTTTTTATCATTTATTATTTTTATTATACTTAAAATCACAGATACATTTCAACTGTATTTATACATATTTCTACGAATGTAATTGTTTTCGATTGGGAATTTGTAATAAGGATAGTACGATCCTGTTTTGCTGTTAAAAACTAAATATGGTGGTGGATTATAAGCGTTGCTCGCTGTGTTGTGAGACCAGTTTCTTCTGCTCGTGTCTCGCTTCTTTTTGATGCGTTCAAATACTCCTTGTGGAATTTTGAGGTCTGTTTTTTCGTCTGATGTTACTAAGTCGTTTTGTTTTCGTCTTGCAGCTGATGTTAATGTGACGAGATTCAGCAAGAGACCAAATATAATCATCTGTGTTTAACGAGTATAAGATTGGTAAAATTGTACATTTTCTAAACAGTAGCTTAAAGCGTAAAAACGGCGTAAGGGAACCATTTCCAAAGTTCTTAAGTATATAGACATAAAGGTTTTTTTTTACTTTTGCCATAAAATAAGCAGCAAATAAATGTTAGTTTTTAAGTTGAAAATATTTTTTATGTTCATTAGTCGAAATAAATATATTATGTATTTTCTCACCTTTAACAAAACGAGTCTGATCTTTTCCATTTCCTAATATTCTTATCTAATAACACACAAAATAAATAAAAAATAGGTATAGTGAAATATAGATGGACAACAAATACTGTTTTCTGTAAGTTGCAATAGTGAAACCACCTTGAACTACACATTTCTATTTATACCAATTTACATTAACGAAAGTCCCACTTTTCATGAGACAAAAATCGATGGAGTATCCATGTACATTTCAAAAGAAAGCAAAAAAAACAATTTTTGGGCTTAGCTTAGACTTTTTGCAGCCCACGTGATGTTAAGAGGCTAGTGAGGTCTATAGAGATTGGGTCAGCCGTGAGGCTTAAGTTTCTAGTACACATTATTCTAGTACAACTTCAAGGTCATCTTAGCCTTTTTCTAGGGTCGTATGAATGTTTCTTACCTCAAACATACAGCACCAATACATGAGGATAGAGGCAAGGGGTACATACTCTAGTAAATCTTATTTATACCTTATCCCATAGTAATTGTATGCATTGCGTAAGAAAAAAAAATCATGTTCATAAACGGACCCTCCGTGCGAAATTTCTAGATCTATTCGAATTTGGTACGAGTGTTGATGTCTGTCAGCCAGTGTTAAGATTTTTCGTTGTCACGAATATTTATCAATGATATTTAAACATTGTGCACTAATATATTATTTTATTTTGCATTGGACTTGACATTTTATGTGATTCCAGAGCGCCACACGGTACAATTTCTTGTTCAAAAACTGTGAGCTGTGTCATCTGCATTTGTTGCAACACAAATACATTTTAAGCACATTAATGTCATGTCGACTGTATTTAATAACTCGTGGCAAAGACTGGTCAAACTTGATATTTTCAATACTAATATTAGAATTAAGATTTTATTTATAACTCTAATAGGTATAATATTTTTTTTTGTACCAATGCGTACTTGTTTATCTATTTAAGGATTACCGACAGGGTTTACAGTAAGACATAAAATAACATTGACATGTATAGAGCAATTGATAACTGCAACTCTAAGTAGAGGCAATCACAGCATGCATTACATTAATATATTAATAGAGATTTAACAGTACTATTAATTATAATAAAAAATTAAAAACAAAAGAAAGACAACAAGGACAGTAATACCTGAGTACTCAGGTATATTATTATACTTTATACAGTATATATATTTTATTATACAGTACTTATATTAAGAATTATACATATAAATACCTTCTATTTACATTGGCCATAATTTAGATTACACATATTTTTTTTGTTAGATTTTGAATGTCAAATCCGTATTTTTATAAATCAATTTTAATTTCTGTAGACACAAGTAGTAGTGGATACATCTTGGGACACTCTGTTGAGTGATAAATCCAAGTCTTCTAAAGCTAAAAGAACTGCCCTGATATATCCGAAGTTTCTCGACACTCTTCTACTAAGAACTTAAGTAGCTTAATCTATGATACACATTTATGGTAGAATTAAGCTAATTTTGTGCAATTTAAGTATGTATTCAGAAACGTTTTTTTATTTAATTTCTTAGAAGAACAGAAAAAAACATAAGCTTACACACATATCTATAATACACACATATGTATATACAATTCAAATGACGATCACGAATTGAATAACAGATAAACTTGTTCTCTTTAGTTTATTTTTAAAGAAACTTATTGTGTCCTGTGTAGCTCGAGTGATTTATACGAGAAACAACATAATGACTAAATATTCTTTCGTGGAATATTCGAGAAATATTTGTAATGAAAAAATAAGAATATAAAAACACCGAATTCATAGGATTTTCTGCATTTTTTCTCAAGTTAATTAAAACTTTTTTATTTGGTTTAAATATACGTTTATTATTTTATTAATTTCAACATATTATGCAATTCCGACATTTTGAATGCTTTACAGTGTTCGTGGTCGAGGACGACCGGTTTTTTTTATATATATTTTTTACAATAACTATAATGTTTTATTATTTGTTTTATGGCGATCATAGGTCCCTGATAACCTAAATCTAGTATTCCGATATTCGAAATACAAATGGATATACGTATTTACATATGAGTTTGTTTCGTGATCTTTGCTTTATAATACTTTTTTGTAAGTACATCTACATCGCTATCTTCATGTCTTCCTTTGTAATTGGAGGATTCTCAGGATTCTCAGGCACCAACAGAATTGGTGAAACATTGAACAAAATTAGCCATAGAATATCATTTATTAAATATTTTTTAGTATACTATTGTAGTTTGGAGATTAAATTGGTATTAGGGTGTCTACTTTCAGTATTTCTTTACAGTAATTCAAAAGAAAATTATGTTCTCCAATCAATTATTTATTATGTTTTGAATTATATGATTAATAGTCGAAGATTCGTCATGTTGTTGTCATTATAGTCGCATGAAAAGTTTTTTTTTGTCCTGCCAGTAAAATTACCTCGATCATTTTAAGGTCGTGTTGTTTTCGCCTCGTTAACAACAGGAACGTGGTTAAATAGTATTTTCTTAGTTTTTTTAATGATTATAACAATGAAAGTCCCGAAGAATGAATATACTAAATTTACTATCAAACTAAAAACTACTAACTAAAAACTAAACTACTAAACTACTAAAAACTTAATATCAATCGAGTTTCTGAGCAACTCTATAGCTTTTAATGTTAGCACAAACCAAATCAAATTAGCACGTACCTGTATATGAGTCGGATGTGTTACTAACACAGTTCGCTGTGTTATAACTACATATTTTGAGCGTTCTTGCTCGATAATATAATTTCGTGACTAGATTTGAGTTCAACAATTGTTATGCTAGTAACAGTATTAGTGTTACTAATAGGTATGAATAATAAGTAGGTTATATAGCGCATATATATAGCAATATAGTCCCGAAGGGGAAGGGGAGAGACCGTTGGAAGCTGTAACGAGTCATAGTACCTAATAATAAAAATCTCTTTTTTATTAAAATCTTCTTTGCTTACAAAAAACTTCAGAGGTGTCAAGGGACACCCGGATGGAACGAAGTTCCTTTCGATTAATTAGTGAAGGAATTGTAATTTCTTTTTTAAGTTATAATAATAAATTACGGCATTATGAAGAAGAAAAAAACAATACTATGAACTAAATTACTATTGTTGAAACACTATCTCGAGAAACTGTACTCATTACGCGGACCAATCGGATACGAGCAATGTCACGCGATAAGCGCCTACACGTTGATTGGTCAGAATGACGGATCTAAAAAGTGTCGTGACAACTTTNTATGAACTAAATTACTATTGTTGAAACACTATCTCGAGAAACTGTACTCATTACGCGGACCAATCGGATACGAGCAATGTCACGCGATAAGCGCCTACACGTTGATTGGTCAGAATGACGGATCTAAAAAGTGTCGTGACAACTTTTCGTAAGAATTTTTTCCGTCTAGCCCCCTTTCACAACGCGCGATAAGGAACTTCGTTCCAACAAACCTTTACCTTTACTTATTTGTAAACATCATAAGCGTCATTTGAGGATAGCTAAAATTTGTAACAACACCCGTTTTAACTAACCCCAAAAACGGCTTCAAATGACCCCAAGACACGGTCAATCTTCTGAGATTATCTAAGAAGCAAGAAATCTAAGTCAAGACGGTATATTAACTAATATTATTATTGTTGTCATATAGAAAGTTAATCTATAATTAGAATCTCTTACTAAACAAATAGGCCGTCATAATAAAGTCACAGTAGTGTAGCTCAGCGGAGGATCGGTAGCGATTATATCGAAGACGTTTCAATTGACCCCAGTCTGCCTGTCTAGTATTAAAATTTGTGCTATTATCGAAATTATATTATCAAAGAGCGTATGCTTTGACCTTGTTTCCTATAATATCTTGTGGGAAAAGCTACTGGGAGAGCGTGTACCTCCTTCATTAGTAAATATATTATCTCTGTGGTATGAGAAGCAGAGGAACTTTGTAAGGTGGTCCAATGTACTGTCGGACCCTTACAAACTAGAATGTGGTGTAAGGCAGGGCAGTTTGACCTCCCCGAGGCTTTTTAATATCTATGTAAATAAGCTACTTGAGGGAATGTAGTGGCACAAAGATTTGCGGGTTGTTCAGAGCCAGTCTTTTTTTTTTTTTTTTATTGCCCTTGTAGGCAGACGAGCATACGGCCCACCTGATGGTGAGTGGTTACCGTTGCCCATGGACTTCAGCAATGCCAGGGGCAGAGCCAAGCCGCTGCCTACCACAAAATTACCCTCGTCAAGGCTTACTGCCAAACCTTTTACACAAGTGGTCTTTGGGCTACTCATACCCAAAAACGGATAATACCCTGTGTATACAATATAATAATGCCTTCAGGGTGTTGTTGAGGCTTCCACCTTATTGTAGTGCATCAGGCATGTTCGCCTATGCGCACACCGATGACTACTTCGCGATAATGCGCAAATAGGTGGTATCCATTATTCGTAGAGTAGGAGGAAGCACCAACAACGTCTTGAGGGTACTAGCTGAAAGACTGGATGACCCGACCCTGGGTAGGTTCATCAAGTTGCATGTTCTACATGCTGCTTGATGGGGCTGATTTGATTGACGGAGTTGATTGATTTATTTAAATTCTAACATAGTTCTTAAGTTATTTGTAATACTAACACAATATGAGACTCTTGAAATAAAAGTTTTTATTTTATTCATTTATAGTACACAAAAAAAGTAAAACATTCAATACACAAAAGTGCAATTGCTATTGGTGTGTATAAAAAAATATGTGAATATTATTGACAACTACGGCGGGACAATGAGGGTGTGCGTCAGTTGAAGGTGAAGGATTAACATCGTGCAATAGTAATCAAACTCGCAAAATTATAATTTACGTAATTACTAGTGGTACCTAGGTCGTTTTGTGAGTCCGCACGGGTACGTACCATCACCCTGCGTATTTCTGCCGTGAATAAAACATAAAACAAGACCATCTCTGTATTTGTTTGTTTTAGCATCATGCAAAAAGTACTGAAACGGTTTTGATGACGCCTTTCGTCCGTAAATGTTCACCGTGATGACGATTGATAAGCCGGCAGTAAAATAAAAAATTGTGGCCGCTAATTCAAT